TATTGCAAGGTCATGGCTGATCATGTACTACAATAGAATCTTGTTTAGTGTAATAATGTAAATATTTTTTGAAAGTCAGGACGATATTTTCCAATTAATAATGTGCATTTTTGTTCTCAAATAGATTCTAAATCAGTGGGGAAGATTTCAATTCAATTATGAGTAATTTGTGTTTAGTGTCTGGTTTAGCTAACTTGTCTTTTATTTTTTCCAGCTCAGCTTTGTCTTTCAATCACGACCGATTATATTTATCTCAATGAGCATTGACCTTAAATCGCCTAACTTTCTCGTGTATGTATAATTCCTTTTGAAGAAATATAAGTGAAATTTTGTTAGAAGTTGTGTTTTTATTTTAAAAATTAATCTTTAACACTTGGATCTCTTATTGAGAGGCCACCATTTTGTTGCAAAAATATAGGAAATCTTGTTTAAAATCTATTTCTGAAGTGAATGTGATAGTGATGTATATGAATATATTTCCAAAAGTAAGATAAACACATACATCAATAATTCTACATCTGCATACGTTGCAACTAGTACTTTTGAATAAATTCTCAAACATATTTCCACCTTTATTTTGATTTTTCTGCAAGACTTGAATTCTGCAGTTTGAATTGCTTTAAAAATCTTCCTGTCCTTTGGATGCCTATACTCTGTAGCTGCATTTTCTTAGCTTTATGTCACAAATTCACTTTGAATTTTGGTTTAAATTCAGGATCAGAACTTACTTTCTGACGCCAGGAAAGCTGTAACTTGGATCCTCTTTCTGGTAGTCGGGACCCTTCCACCTCATTTGCTTTGAACGGAACACTCTCTTTAGAACACTTTCTTTAAGAAACTTGGAAATGATCTTTTCTCTTTGAACATTACTGAATATTTTGCCTTCTGGAAGCCAGCTGATCTTGTCACATCCACCATGGCCAAGGGGGAGAGGAATGTGTTCGGGAGACACAACAGCCCTCTTCGGAATAAAAAAAAAAAAAAAGGAATTACCATTTACCTAACTAGAAAAACGATCAAGAGTCCTGCAGCTGCTAGGTAGTTCATGATACGCTGCTAGCCTAAGTGGTGCTACTGCCACAATAAGAAGTGCTGGCTTAGGAGGATTCTTTCTAATCTTTTCTTGTGAGAAAATAATCATATATTATAAACATAGTTGTGAAAAGTTAAATATATTGGATATTGAAGACTAGAATTGGAAATAAATAGAATACAAAACGGACAGAAATGGGAAGATTTCTTTTGTCAAAGAGCATTAGTACCATAGCCTAAGACATGGTTGGCTGAGATCAAGATCACACAACTAGTTAGCAGCAGGGCATTGCCAAGCTTCCATTCTTGACTGTTAACTTCCATGCTGGTTCAGTGTTCTTTCTACCACGGCATAGTTAGAGAAAATGAATGAGATTGCTTCCTTGAAGAAAACTTAACCATTGCGAAAAACATTTATCCATGAGATAGTTTATTTTAAAATAAAATGTAATCATTGTAGCCTATGTTTGATTTCAGCCAACATCAATAAACTTAAGATAGCTAGAAGCATTCCATCAGTTGCTATTTAGAGCAATAATTAAGAATGGATGGATTAATTTACTGGAGTATAAAGAATCAATTTTAATAGATCACTTCTTTGGTCTGTTGAATGGCTTAAAACATGGTTTGTTCTTTCCTATTTATGTAAATGAGGATTTAGTAGTACATTCGCATTTACTTGGAAGAAAGAAGCCTCTGGCTATCAGAATATTCCACCCCTGTGACCTTCACCTATCCCCCTCTCTCCAACAATGCACATGAAATTATGAGAATCACTTTACATTCAAGTTAGCTCTATAACATATTTTAAATACATTTGTATTTCAAGAACATGTTTTGTTCATTTTTTAAAGTTTTACTTTTTAAGTTTGCAAGTTGAAATTTAAGAACTAGAATTGTATATCTCCTGCTGTGGGCACTAATGTACATATGATATAATCTGATGTTTTTATAGTCTTGACCAAAGGTTTTTAAGTTTGGTAAAAAGCTGGCAAACATTACCAACTTTTGCCATAGCATGCTTGGCTCCCATGGCTTTCCCTGTTTCTCACCAGTTTGCGGTGTGATTACCCAGCCATTTCACAGAGTAGAACAATTATGGTGAACCTGGCTCAGTTAATGGAGCACGCTGAGATTAAGGAATAGCTATAACAAACCTTATTATTTGAATTTTTGCTCTAAATCTGGGAGTAGTTCTTGGCAGCTTTCATCTTGCTTGGGGCTGTGCTATCAAGCGTGATGGTTTAAGTTTATTTAGTACTTCTACTCTTCTCTCTTTTGGTCCACGATGAAGAATGGCTTCTATCAGTAACACTAGAGTCGAGCATTTTTGTTTGTTTACCTTGTTTCCTTAGTGTTAATTTGGTTAAGAGAATAAAAAGCAGTTTGTCATCTTACCTGTGTTAATCTGGACATTTCCTTAGTTTTTGGACGATAAAGCTCTTTCCTCACTTCTTCTCAAGAACTGTGCTGATGTAACCACTCTCCCTCAGAGAATAGAAGGTCTGTGGAGCTTTCATTATGTACACATAGGATGCATAGCCTCTACTAAGTGCCAGTTGGAAAAATATAACACTGGATGTGTACACACTGCTTTCCTTCTTCCTTTTAGGAAAGTACTCTACTTTCTTCAGATATTGTCCATGTTCAGACAGGAAATTGGAGTTTCTGCCTAAAATTCCAGTTAGACTTGTCAAGATATTTTTGACAGGCTGATTTCCTCTGGTTTGAAGAAGCAAGATGAGCACACCGAGTTCCAGGCTAAGATCTGGGCCATTGTGACTCTAAGAATGCTAAGCAATCAGAGACCAGAAAATAGATTCCATGATATCTTCTTAGAGATGAAGAAAAGCTTGGAGGAAGAACAACTGCAAGGGATTTCACTCTTCAAATTCTCTATTTATTCTTCTCTGTAGCTCAGCGGGTCATCATGGAAATAGCCAAAAACAATCAAATTATATTGAAACTTCCACCTGTTGACAAATACAGGACACCCAAAAATTATGACCTTCCTGAAGTTATGCATCACACCTTTGAGACTCTATCCAACCTTCACAAGCTGCTTCCAAATCATCTGATGAAGATACTTTATTCTTACAAGAGTGAACAGGACAAAAAAAAATGTAAGTCAGAAGAGGGTGGGTGTGAACTCTTTTTTAGTAAGCATATACTTTATCTTGGTACAAGCTGCCTCTTCTTTTAGCCATGAGTAAGAACTTATTCTTTACATTACAGGTGTGCTCAGTTCTTGAGACCCATGGCCCTATCCATATAGGGACCCATGTTCTCAGAGCTTAAAGTGGAAATTAACCATGTATTGACTTCATCCTCACTTCTTCACATTCCTTTTATGAACCAAGATAGTTCTGTTACTCTTCTTTAGGCAAAGCATATTTGTGGAAAGATGGGAAATACTACTAAATTTACAATTTTATCTTTAGATTTGATTTTAAAAGAGATTAGTGAGAAAGAAAACTTCTCTGCTTCCCACCGCTCTAGCCTGACTTACACTCAGAAACTGGAAGTAAGCCTGGCAGTGAAGTAGGTTTATTTTTCTTACTTTGCCCACTCTTTCACTGGCTACTGTTAGGTTGAGAAGGGTTAGGATGAAAGGAACTGAAAAGCTTTTCCTCAACTGGTGAAATATCAGATTGTCATCTGTCATTCTGGCTCTCTGGGGGTGGCAGCTTTCAAAAGCTGACCTTTTCTTTCCTGGGGCATTCGTGCAGGTACTTTGATGATTTCCCATTACTGGAGGTCTCTCAATTCATAGCCTCCTGCTGACATTTCCCCTTCTCCATCTTCACCCCTCCACTCCTTTGGTATGTTACATTTCCATCCTATTTCAACAGAGATTGCTTTCACCCTTTGGACAAAGCCCTCTTAAGATTTTATTCAAAATGACTCAAAACCAGCTTCTTTCCATGGGGTTCATGTATAGCTCATGGAAAATTTGAACCCCTGTCCACCTTATCTTCATCCGATTGGTGAAAGTACAACTGGCTTCCAACACTGACCTCTTTTCTCTGTGGCCTATGGTCTTAGCCACTTTCCAGTGGACTTTTCCAGGTGTTAGGGGTCGAATCGTGTCTCCTAAAAAGATCTGTTGAAGTCCTAACCCCCAGTACTCCAAAACATAACCTTATTTGGAAATAGGGTCCTTATTGAAGTACAGAGATAATTAAGTTAAGATGAGGTCATACTGGAGTAGGGTGGGTTCTCAATCCAATATGACTGGTCCTTATAAGAAGACAAAGAGACACAGGGAGAAGTTGGCCATGTGACAATAGAGGCAGAGATTAAAATGATGCATCTGTCAGTCAAGGAACACTAGAAACTAAGAAGTAAGGAAGAATTTTCTCCTAGAGATTTCAGAGGGAATGTGGCCCTGATGAATTCTTGGTTTTGGAGTTGCAGCCTCCAGAACTGTGAGACAATAAATTTGTTGTTTTAAGCCACCCAGTTGGTGGTACTGTGTATGTTATGGCAGCCCTAGGAAACTAATAAATTAGGTGTTAGGGAATACAGCCCAGTACCTTCATTTGTCAGAGGGAGTGGAGATGGTACAGTACACAGCACTGCAACTACTCTGCCTAAAGAAATCTTCACATGCCTTAAAGCATGTTTACCATTTTCTAATATAGATAGGTATGTTGTACATATGTTGGTATCTGGCACCTACTGGATTTTTCTCATACTGTAGCTTTAGGACAAAATAGAGCAGAAAAATTCATATTTTAACAACCCCTTACATATGCATGTCCTTCAACTTAGCAATTCCACTTCTAGTTAATGTCCTAGAGAAATACTTATACCTGTGCACACAGATGCATGAACAAAGTTGTGTGTTGAAGCATTATTTAGAATGGTGAAATAAACAGCTTAATGTCATTCAATAGCAGAATGGTTAAACTGATAAACCAATACTGTGGAATCTATTAAAAAGAAAGTTAACATTAAAATATCTACAAAATACACTGTAGAGTGTAAAATAAGTGCAAAATAAACAGTAAAATAAAAACAATGATTTTACTTATGCCAAAAGAAGACTGTATATTTATACATACAAATATGTATATAAATGCATAGAAGAGTTCTGAAAGAGAGACAACAAATTCAGGACAGTGGTTATCCTTGGAGAAAGGATAGAGATTGGAGGACTTTCCCTTTGACTATGTGTATTTCTTTAAGTTGTTTGATTTTATTTAATCTAGTGGAAATCTTTCCATGTATTTTTTGTAGTTAAAATGCAATTTTAAAATTGAAAATGCAGTGAGTATTTACATGAGGTTGAAGAAGTGTTTTAACTTCTGTTCCCTTAGCCTTCCAGTGTAGACACTAATATATACTGATGCACCT